ACGAAAAATATTCGAAGGCGCTCTAAGGCCGGCAACTTTACAACGTGATTGTGTGTGTCTCACTTGCCCGTTTCTTCAACTTCTCGGTTTCTCTGTAGTGTGATATCAGTGTCTCGTTAAACATTGGAGTCTGCCCTTCGTTGTCAATGACCGGATCTCGCCAGAAGAGAATTTCACACTAGTGGATACCTGAGAAACGGCCCGAAACGGGAGCCAAAAATCGGAATTGCGCCGAGAGAAGTAAAAGACATTCACGTGATTTGGGATCGAACTCCCGACTTCCCGATACAGCCTTTCGCAGCGAAAGTTTCGCTCTCCCGGTCGAAGCAAAGGAACCTGGATAAAATCGGTTAGATTAACCAACGGCAAGCTTATGCGCTCAAAAGGTGCTCCTATCCTTATGGCGCGCGCTAAAGCGCGCGCTCACTTGTAGTTTCCTACATGAAGTTTTGCGCTCAGTTGTGTTGCGCTCGGTCGTGATTGCGCTCAGTTGTGGGGTTACGAAATGCAGGGCACTCGGATCGAACCTGGAGCCTCTGCTGTTCCATATCTTGAATCAGTGTTGGCTCAGAGTGCAAGCTTACTTTGCTACAGTCCGGACTCCGGATGGTCAGCACAATTGTCAGCTTGGGGGTGCTGCTTGGTAGACTGTTGAGAGTTAATGAGCGTGTACTCGTGGCTCGTCTAATCTACCGTCTCAGACGTATACAACGAAGTTGTTTAGATCACTATGTCATCGTCTGATAGTAGCAGTCCCTCGCCTGCTGTGGTTACCATGCTCGAGCAGCTTCAAAGGGCGGCTCTAAGAGCTAGGGACCAAGCTGAGGACGTGGGGGATGATATCAAGGTTGGAGGAGGTAGTTGGGCTGGTCAACACTAGACATCTCACCTCATTGCCAACTCGTCATCAATGAGACGATTCCCATATCGATGAGACCTATTGATTACTTTCAATGAGTTCAACTTTGTTTAGGTCGTCCAGCAACTCCTAGGGCTACCTTCGACCGTATCAAAGTAGGGATGCGTTGCCAAGTGGAGCCCTATCAACGACGAGGCGAAGTCGCCTATATCCAGCCCAACCATTGCGGTCTAGGTAGCAGTCTGGGAGGCTTACAACGTTTGTCTAGGATGGGGTGGTCGCTCCTATGTCCACTGTGATACACCTGCCTCTGACAACCGATGACTTAGAATTTTCATAAGGGATCATGGCAGATTCCTCAGGCATTCTATGGAAGGATGACTAGTGTATTGCTGATGAGCAGGTACCTGGGTTGGAGTTAAGCTGGATGAGCCCTGTGAGGACCCCAGACAAGACGGCACTTTCTTAGATGGCAAAAGATATTTCGAAACTGATCCTGGATATGCCTTATGGACCAGGCCTGAGGCTGTAAGTAACAATTCAGAACGCCAATCGGCTCGTACATAGTTGGGATATGTAATCTATCGACATGTTGCCATGATGTGCTGTTAACTGCTGAGCAACAGTGAGAGTAGTATCAAATTGTTTGGCAGGTATCTTGTGGTCCCGAATTCACCCCTTACGATCCCTTCGCCGATCTTTCCTCATCGAGTGACGAAGAGTAGTTACTGTTTCTAACGCGTTATATTTAGTTTGAGTACTATCACATGTCGCTGATTACCAGGATGGTTTGGTGCGCTTTGGAATGTCGGGGAGGTTAGTTCAGCACAAGAGTGTCATGCGATTGTTCGCGGTATCTATAGCACCGCGGCCTCAGGGTAGACACAGTACGCTCTGTCTCACTTCAACTGACAGTCTAGGCATCTTCTGGACTGAACTCAGGTGTTCGCATTTATTACAAGTCTGCGTTCTTATGAACTCTGTGAGGTTTCTGGGTGCTGGTTAGTGAGCGGTCGGTCAATGATATCATCACTGCGACTTTAGGTAGAGTTGTGAACTTTTCTATAGTATGACTAAACCTAAGGTCTACGTTACTGGGGTAGGCATGACCCCTTTCATCAAACCTGGAAGGTGTGCCACCATGAGCGACTATTATTACTCAGAGAATCTTCTCAGGAAAGATATAGACTATGTCGATCTAGGGGTATTGGCTATACAAAGAGCCCTCAGAGACGCTGGGATATCTGGTCAAGGTAGGTGTTTAGTAATAACATGTCTAGCACTAGTCTCCCAGATATTGATGCGGCATATGCTGGATACGTGTATGGTGATAGTACATGTGGTCAACGAGTCATCTATCAAGCCATTGGCTGTACCGGTATACCTGTTGTGAATGTAAACAACAACTGCAGGTAGTTGGTCCTCGTCGAAGGTCTGCAATATTGCATTGCTCAGTACTGGGTCGTCGGCTATGTATCTAGGGCGTCAGGCTATCCTGGCCGGCATGGCCGATGTATGCCTAGTCGTGGGGTTTGAGAAGATGGAGAAGGGCAGCCTTAGTGCTAAATACACGGATAGGTGAGTCTGATCGTCACATACTACCCGCTTTGAATGACCTGAGGGGGATGGCGATAGCCTCTAGGCAAGGCGTAGAATGTGTGTGTCCGCCTCCAGGGATTGTTGTTCCCGACTTCCGTACAGTGCCCTTGGTCTGTCAATGGAAGGGGTCGCCTATTGAAATCATCACAGAGGGGTTATTGATTATCAGTCCTGATTGTTGTTCCAAGTTGTCCGTCGCCGTGCATGCTCTAGGTGGAGGTTGACGACCCTGTGATATTTGAGTGGTCTGGACATTTCAGAACGGACCCTCTTGATCGCCATATGGTAGAGATGGCATCTATGCGTGGTTTCGCAGCAGCACCAGGGCCTCCACAACTCTTCGGCAATGCTGGTATCGAACATATGGAGAAGTACGATTTGTTTTGCATTGCTCACTCGAATCATCCATTGTTGATGTACTACATGTGTGTTGTAGGTACGGTACAACAGAGAGACAACTGGCATGCATAGCTAGCAAGAACCACAACCACTCTGTCAACAATCCCTACAGTCAATTCTGTGATCATTACACAGTTGAACAGGTAGTAGTCTATTCTTCGGTAAGGGCGTATCAATCTTTTATCAGATACTTGCCTCCCCGAAGGTCTTTGGGCCTCTCACTAAGCTACAATGCTGCCCTACCTCTGATGGCGCTGCTGCTTGTGTGCTGATGAGCGATAATGCGGTTAGGAAATACGGGTATGTCCTAGGTATTGAAAAGGACCTGCATTCTCACAAATTTGACTGCAACATGGGTTGTGTGCGGTCGAGAGTGTTGGTTAGAGGGTTTGTAGCGTTTCTCACCTGGCAATGCTCAATATCACTTATATCTACTTTAGGTTAATCGATCAGTCCGTGGAAGTATTGGGTATGTCTATGGTAACCGATACACCGGCTACCTTTACTACCAAGAGCTGTATGGATGTAGTAGGCAGAGACATGACGAGGAAGGCCATAGCAGGGTTGTTGGATCAAACTAACCTCAGGATGAAAGACTTCCAGGTAGACACGTACAAAGGGGACATGCCCTACTAGCATCAAGGATCATCAGGGGGGAGGACAAGGCCCTCGTGCTTGGTTGTTGATCCCTATGTCTAGAAATGCATATCAGTGAGATGGAAACGTAGCTAACGCAAGTCATTACATATATGGTTACACAACATTACGCTGCCTGTGATATTGGAGGTTATAGCCGATAGGTTGTGGAGCTTCACGACTGCTTCTCTGCCAATGAGCTGATCACGACAGAGGCCCTTGGCCTCTGCAAAGAGGGACAGGCAGGTCCTCTGAACGAGCAAGGCAAATTCACCTACGGCAGGGACAACATGTAAGGTTACTCCCACTCACCTCCGAGAAGTGTGCATGGTAGTTGTGTGATCAACCCTTCTGGAGGTCTCATCTCGAAAGGCCATCCTTTGGGTGCCACGGGACTAGCTCAATGCTGCGAGCTCGTGTGGCAACTCCGTGGATGTGCTGATAAGCGTCAGGTGATGAGCATGTATACAACAATAGGGTACAGTGAGCCCTTCACAGGTCCCCGGTGTGAAGCAAGCCCTTCAACACAATCTCGGTCTCGGAGGGGCCTGTGTTGTAGCTGCATATAAGAAGGCTAATAGTAACCCACCTATTAGGGCTCTGCCTAGTGATCCGACTATTCTTCAAGCATGGGAGAAGGAAGGTGCTAACTTGTTGGGTCTCGATGCTTGGAGCATACACTTATATGTTGCATCCCATTCAGGTTGTCCATTCTCAAGACGTCCAACGCTGATGATGGCCAGCAGCAAAATGTAGAAACTCTGGTTCGACTTTAGATATCTCTGGTTCGACGTAATCGACCAATTCTCATGACGCTTCTTTTGTTAATCCCATCGGGAGTGTGAAGTTTTGACATTGACCTTTGTGTTAGTCATCATAAATTCTCGATGGATGATGTTTTCGAGATGCCACTCAAGCATTTACTATTTTCCTGAATATCCTTCATAGCATATAACGCAAGTGGACCAAAAGTTGGTACAACAATGTCTTATTATCACGATAGCATGTATAATCACCCTTGATGTTGGAAGCGATGGAAGTACTTAGTCTTATCAGCTATAATGGATAAATTAGACGATTGAACTCCGCCAACTCCACGATGATAATTCCTGAGTGTCAGTTCAAGATACCCACGTGGTCGTCCTCTAGCTCACCTATGCGTTGTCCAGAACTGTCTCGGATCCCTGATGTTTCTAACCTCAATCATCACCTGCTTGCATGGAAATTAACCAGGTCTGGTTCATGATTGTTAAGGAACTCACGTCAGATTTATTTCGATCCAATGGCTTGAACTTATCACCGGGTAGGCGAGAACGGTTTGCATTTGGACGGTATCTAGGAATTGTAATATGCATGAAAATACGCTTGCAGAGATTTGAACCTACGCGCAAAGTGGCTTGTTGCTCGCACCGCAAGAGGACACTGGCTCGTTATTATAGTCAGCACGATATGTACCTGATCATAAAAGTCGAATAAATGTATCACCAAGTGACCTTACTGATAGGGAAAGCCGCGGTAGATTGCGATCTGGTGATCCTTGGCCTCAAGGGCACAGCTAAAAGCCCTCCGGCAGATTGGAAGACCTATTAGCAACGGATTTCGGTGATCCATGCCTAACTTCATTTCCAATACCCTTTTGCATGTTGAATAAGTTGAGCCCGGCTCAGGGTCGGGAAAGCTGACTTGGCCAAGGCTGACCATACTCTTGGGATGCCCCGGTAGCTTCTCCATTGCTGATACACTCGTGCTCCGAACTAACGCCATTAAGTGTTGGTAAATGGCAGACTGCTACTATCAGAGCAAGAAATGATCTGACGTTATGAGATGATGACGTCTGATGATGACGTTGAAGTCATGAAGAACTATTCACGATGTCATTCGTACTATTCCAGTGAAGGCTATAGTAACAGTAGGCTTAGATTAGCAGCTATGAAGTTCTCCCTCATATCTGTGGACTAACAATCAGTCATTAAGTGGCTCCGGTAGCGTTTAAGCTCCTGTATAACGAATAGCCTGTTAACACGAGACCAGCTGAGATCGGGAGGGTTGAGTCTGAGTCATCAAAGTCTCCATCACCAGTGAGTGAGAGTAATCCTTGCCGGTTGCCGACTTTGAGTGGTAGAAGAAGGATTGTGTTTTTGGGCGAGCGAGATCGTTCTTGTGTTAGCGTCCTCCACGTATACGACCAATTTTGAAACTTCGACAGTCGAAGTTTGTCTGCGTATTCAACCCGTTTATACATGATGGAAGATTCTACTAACAAGATCTGCAGTCAGGTGTTGGACTCTATGGAGTACACACCAGGCATGTCCCTTGATGATATGGTTACTAATACCCCATGCTTGGGCAACATGAAATGTAGGAAGACTTGAGTGCTCCGGGTTATGCACAATGAGATCTTCTTAGGTACTGACGCCTTTGTTCGGTGTTTGGAGGCAGAAGGAATTAAATACATTTTCGGTATCCCTGGTGAGGAGAATCTAGACTTCCTAGAGTCGATTCGTGTGGCCGAAAAAGAGGGTCGGATTAGGCTCATTCTTACGAGACATGAGCAAGCAGCCGGTTTTATGGCTGCAACTGTTGGTCGGATCACTGGTCAGCCCGGTGTCTGCCTATCAACCCTTGGACCTGGAGCTACCAACTTCTCTACTGCTGTCGCTTATGCTAAGCTTGGTGGTATGCCTATGTTGGTACTCACTGGGCAGAAGCCAATCAGACATTCAAAGCAAGGACAATTCCAGATCGTGGATATTGTGGACCATTTCCGTCCTATCACCAAATCCACGAAGCAGGTTCCCGATGCAGGTAAGAGGGGTCTGCAATAGGTCACAGCCCCGATATCCCCGTATCGTTTTTCGTTGTTACTAGCTCGTGTTTGATCAGATGCCATCCCATCACTTATCCGAGAATCTGTACGTGAAGCGCTGGAGGAGAAGCCAGGTCCGGTGCATATTGAGCTCCCCGAGGATATCGCCGAGCACATTCTGGGTCCTAACGAGTATCTATTCCCCACTGGAGATGTTCGACGACCCGTCCCTGATGCCAAGGCGATTGCTAAAGCCGTTGCTCTAATCCACGCCGCCAAGCGCCCCCTCCTCTGTATCGGTTCGGGATGCAATCGTAAGCGCACCAGTAAGATGTTACGTAAGATCATTGACGAGACTGGTATCTTCGCTGTGAGTACGCAGATGGGCAAGGGAGTTGTCGATGAGACTAGCCCTCACTTCCTCGGCGCTCTGGCCCTCTCCCAAAACGATTGGGTCCATACTGCTGTTGACTGGGCCGATCTCATTGTCAACATTGGCCACGACTCGGTAGAAAAGCCACCGTTCTTGATGAAGCATAACCAGAAGCCAATTGTTATTCACGTTAACTTCTATCCAGCTATAGTGGATGATGTCTACTTCCCTCATCTTGAGGTTGTGGGGGATATTGGTAATGCCGTATGGCAAATATCCGAGACTTTAAAGAGCATGCCCAAGCCTCACTGGGATTTTGCAGTTTTTGAGAAGGTGAGATGGGACTGAGTCGTACTTATTGAACGAATGATGTATCTATTAGATACGCGAAGTGGCACAGAGAAGGATGCATCACTCTATCTATACCACTTCAGATGCATTTCCTATGGACATCCGTAGAGTTGTTAAAGATGTACGTAACTGCATGCCGGAGAACAGCGTCGTTTGCCTCGATAACGGCATGTATAAGATATGGTTCGCCAGATTATATGAGGCTCGGGAACCTAATACTCTTCTCCTTGATAATGCACTGGCCAGCATGGGAGCCGGGCTCCCTTCGGCTCTAGCGGCCAAAATGGTCCGACCCGATCATAAGGTCGTTGCTGTCTCTGGAGATGGTGGTTTTATGATGAATTCCCAAGAGTTGGAGACTGCTGTCACACTTGGTCTCGACGTCATCCAGATCGTGCTCAACGATAATGCTTATGGTATGATCGAATGGAAACAGAGTGCCTCTGGAATGCCTAAATGGGGTCTACAGTTGAATAATGTCGACTTTGTCAAATACGCCGAGGCATATGGTGCTAAGGGGTATCGTGTCACCAAGGCTGATGAGCTCACCGAAATCCTCAGCAAGTGTCTCAACGAGCATGGTGTCCATCTCATCGAAGTTCCTGTGAACTACGAGGCCAGTAATCGTACTCTCAACGTTGACGTCCCTGACCATGTTAAGGAGCTGAGGGAGATTCTCAAGAAGGAGTTCAAGTATTAAGTGCTAGCCGTTCTGTGGTGATTCAGAGTGATAAAGGCCTGATAATGGGCAAATAGAATTTTTTTGTCTACCCTTCTATACTACTATTCTCACCACTGCTATTACCACTACTGCCACTATCACTACCGAAAACTGCAGTCGTTAACAACATGCCAGCAATTATAATTGGAGCACCAGTCTTACGCGTCATATATATCGGTTGTCAAATACAATAGGATTTATTGGCAACAGGACTTGTGCAAGAGCGTCCAGCACTTTCATTACTTCTGACCTCCTCATTACCGGTATTAGGCTATGGCGATACTATTAAGCGTAAAGCATTGATGTTTGCTGCACACTCGACTAGGTCTACGTCCTGAATCGGATAGTAACTTCTCCTCCGGTTGGCGGGCCCTGGTTGTACCCTACAGCACCTCCCATATGATTGACATCTGGTTCTGAATTCATCATGTGCTCGAGTTAACAGTATCAATTGAGTGGGAGGATTGAATATAGCGGAATCTGAAGGAGTTGCCATTCTGCGAATGTTGTGGCCGACGTTCATCTAGTCGGGCATCGAGCATTTCATTCTAGGATCGCTAGAGGAGGTTGTAGCATCATGCTCATTTTCCTGGCTTTCGAAAACTCCCCTTCGCTGGGACTGATCTCTGGCGCACGAGGTTGACGAGACAGAGCCCACACGAAAACAGTCGATTCGGCCATGTACTCACGTATTTGATCGGCACTCGCGAATTGATCGGTTCTCTTTTCGATCAAGCACATTGATTCACACGATATCGGTATGGGGTATCATCAATGTCATTCCTTATTCAATGATCATATATCACCTTCACTTGTCACTGGGAAGAACCACACTTGAGCCCATAAACAATACAACGTGAAGACGAGTTAGGATCCGACCACTGTGCAGAGAGCATCAATGACTTTCAACTGGCTCATCCTTTCACCTGTCGCACTTACAGTCAGTGCTCTGGTGATCAGAAGGTGAAGGGATTCCAGTGAGTATAAAGATTGGTGTACGGTTAGATGTAGACAGCAAATCTGGACTGATGATGCACACTGTACATCGCACACTTGGTCATGATTGTGAGCGTTCAGCAGTCGATCTGGGCAGTTCTATTCGCAGCTTGTTATTTATGGGTCCCACTTGCGGAACTTTCTACACTAAACTTTACATGAGCTATTACGCGATAGGCTATTTTTGCTAAATGTTTGATCATGATGTCAAAATTTGTCAGTTGAACTGATTCTCGAGTTCGTCACACTTGTCGGTTCGGGGGTTGTAGTGACCAGAACGTCGACTGGTACTTCAGTTCAGCGATGTCGAACTGGTGGTATTTTAATCTCCCCGTAACGGAATCATTACGTCGTACGTCTTGACGAGCAAGGAGTATAAATTCATACTATAAATGGTCTAACGACTTCCTTGCTAACGCTCGTCCGCGGGCTGCACGCGTGAGCATTGCAAATCCCACAAAAATTCCGCACACTACGCAAGGACAGGGATACTGGGGAAGGACTTATAGACTTCGTCTACCTGGCCTAACACAGTCGCTTTACACGACAACAGCATAGCTGGTATCGACTGTACCAGGGACAGACCAATCGATAAGAGGAATTACAGTTCATTCTATCACACTCATATTCATGCATTCAAACTAGCCTCAATCATCTTCGTGCACATTTGGCGAGCGTGCTCAGCGCAAGCTTGCGGTGTGAACGTATTTTCACCACCTTCTCATAGTTCAACCTCCCATCATGCTGCATCTTATCCCCATCCTATCGATCCTCGCCATTGTTAAAGGACATGGCTGGATAGAAAGCCCTAAGGCCAGGAATGCTGTCGCTGGTCCCGACAATCACTACTGTCGGCAATGCGGTAACAGTGGTGGAACTGTTAATCGCATCAGGGAGAAGAACGCCCCCTTTCCTGATAATCATGATGCTGAAGGCACTCACGGCTTGTGTGGTGATCCCTTCGAAGGGGGAGGTACAAATCTACCCCCTCCCGCTCAGCAGACATACATGCAACAAGGTCCTGTGAAGGCTACTTACACTCAAGGCCAGAATATCGTCATCGAAATGGACTTGACCGTCCATCACTGGGGCCACTTCGAGTACCGCATTTGCGAGGGTGGACTGTCTGGTCAGAAGTACCCGACCCAGAAGGCTGGTCAGGACTGTCTCAATAAGAATCTTCTCGTGAGGCCTGACCCCAAGAGCCGTCCCGAATGCCGTAATGCTAAGAATATCGACGCCAGCAACTACGACTGTCAACCGCTTGACACAGCTCACCCGGAGAGATGGTACCTGCCTCCACAAAGTTATGGTCCTAAATACAAGATGACTTTCAAGTTGCCGGATGACCTCACTTGCTCGCTCTGTACTATGCAGTGGAACTGGATAACTGGCAACTCTTGTTTGGTGGATGGGTATAAGGAGTACTTCGCCAAGTTCAAAGAGGAGTACCCTAACATGGACAGCTCGTGGGATCAGTCTAACTCGCCCAAGGACAGTTGCGACCTCGCCAGGGATGGCGAGCAGTTCTGGAACTGTGCCGATATTAAGATCCAATAGTCTTTTGGAGGCATGCGCTTTGCTAGGACACATCTTCAAAATGCGATGGGCCCATCGCTTATACCCTCCACAAGAACTACGCATCTATCCCCCCCCCGGTCTATTCAACATCATCCTCATCTCCTTGTCACAACTACGTTATTTGTTCGTGCCATCGATTGCGATGGCGGCTTGTCCCGTCGTGGAATTTGGAACCCCATGTTCAGCACTATTTTCCCTTGTTACCTCGATTCGACGAGAGAGCTATTATTTCACCGGTGTCCGATTGCATCGTGAGAGCGTCACAAGTATCCCACCTATTATCTTGATGCTACACCATCAATCGATTGATACTAAACCTTTTTCCATTTGCTGCCTGGATGGCTTATCGAGTCTAGTATACTTTCCGCTGTGAATTGGAGGGTAGGAGTGCTCCCAGGTCATGCTTTGAGGTCGGAAATGATGCCCCGGGTTTGAAATTGAAGATTATCCCCTGACGTGGATAGTCCCTGTTCAGTAGCTCTCATGATCTACAAGAATTTCCCCCTGATTCCTGTCAATGTTGCACGGATTTCTGTGGAGCTGATAGTATTGCTAGTAAGTAACAGCTATCAAGTTATCGCAGTTATTGCAGCTGACACACTTAAAGACCACCGAATGGAACTGTGCCTTGATTGGTCCTGAGCGCCTTGCGAGCTGGGCGTATATCACGTGTACATAGTGATCTTGCTCTGCGCCAACTATAATACAGTATTCATCTAACGCAAGAGACGTGGCTGATACGAAACGCAATCGGTTATAACTCAATGCATGATTATCGCCGAACCCTAGATGGAGTTACAAATAAATCATACAGTGAATTAACTCCTAAAGCATTATCTCCAATGAACACATGATAGTTGGGGCCAGTCAAACATACCTGAAATCTCTATACAATGTTCCTCGATACTAACAGGTCCACATACTCTAATGTTCACATCTATCTGCGGGCTTCCCCCATATACACAGCGGGAAGGCATGTGACACGCTCGATTGGCGATTTTCTCTACTTCAATCCGCTGTAATTGGGGACGAGGCGACAAATTAACCTGTTCACCGCCGTTAGGGCTCAAAAGTATCCAACTTGCCTCGAGGAAACCTCTCACCCATCGTTACAGATATGGTGAATTTAGCGGTTGAACCAGGGTCTAGGACTGGTTGTGTGGCTTCACGATTAGTCGCTTGCTGGCATGGCAGTGCGACACTTCCCCGAGGATTCACTGCGATTATTGTATTGTCCCTGCTGTCCACCAACTCAATCACTCGAGCGGGAAGATCCTCAAGACACGCTTGATGGTCGAGTCCGAGTGTAAAGGACATACCTGATCAAGGAGGGGTGCAATGCAAGGCCTCAAGATGGAACCATTACGAAATGCTTCGGCCTTCCATGTGGCGGTGCCGACATGCAGGCGTTCATCAGGACATTTACCTGCATGGACTAGGCGGCCAATGACCACCCAAGTCTCGTCCTCCTCGACATATCGAGGGTTAACCCTGTAGGAGTTGATACTCTCGAAGTTAGATTCGACCAGGTCCTCATTATCGTCATTAACCGTGTCCACTTCACAAATTCCTACTTGACAGTCGCGCTCCTCTCCTGCCGTCCTCTCCTCCACTCTTTCGACGGTGTTGATGTTGTAGTCTTCATCCCACATATGGTTGGTCTCCCAACTCTCACAACAGTACGAGCAATAATGCTCATCTCCCTTGACACTCGTCATGCACAGTGGAAAAGCTCGGGGTGGCTCTGATAGTAGCAGTTCATTGCAACCAGCACACAAAGTTCCACACAATCCTCGGAGTAATATACTTTCCAAGTCAATCCCACACGCATGAAGATGCTCCATTGCAGCTAGGTAAGTCCGATACCATTCCTCGAATGCCGCTGTTGTCAGGTTGTCAGCTCGTTCTAGAGCAGCACGGCTGATGTATTCTGGCATTTCGTGAAGTTGCCAGCCGGATGATCCACTAGAGCCGTCAGTATCGGGCTCATTGTTCACTGCTTCTAGAGTGCTGGTACAAGTGGACAGTGTGGGGGAGCGACACATCCATTCATGCCAATACCGTGTACGCACCCAATCAGCCGACATGTACATGCCATACCTGAGTCACTCAGGCTGAGTGTGGACTCCCAGTGTGAGCAAGGCCTAGCACTCACGGGAACGACCAAGAGGATGGGCTCATCCCTAGCGTGATAGCAGGATCAACAGCGCATATTCCAACATAGCCTGGTAACCTCGCCCTCATCGTCAGAGCAAATGAAGCTAGGCTCTCAGGCACGTTACCTATACTGGTACTGAGGAGGGGCGCTAGATGGAGAAGATACATACCATCGATTGAGGCCAGTATCTTCTCCAAGACCCAATCACTAGGCTTAGTCTCTGTACTGTAATGAAACATCTTGATATCATCCTTACCTAGAGTATTCCACTCAATGCTCGTATAGAAAGGGCTGTCCATGCAGTGAAAATATAAATGGTGTAATTGGAAATTGTACCTGCTGGAAGGCTGGCATGCGCAGCCCTAATGACGAATTAGCTAACCTGCAACTTATATGCCTCCATTGTGGGTAATACCGAGAGAGGTAGTCCTGCTCGGGCCCATTGCAATAACAGTGTTCGGGATGAGTGTCGTCACTGATCTCGTCAATCATCCCCTCTAGCTCAGATGTGTCAGGCGTCAGTAGCATTATACCAGCATTAATGCCTGTACTGTTACCCCACCTGACCACTTTCCTCAGCGTGCCTCATATAAACTCCTCACTGACCATCCTCTAGAGTACATCCACTCAGCTCGAAACTCGGTGCCATGCTGAGGCTGCCATGCACCCCTCTTCATCGCAGCTGGTGCCTCCAAGTCAAATAGGTCGTCCATGTTCTTAACACAGAGGGTGTCGGTGTCTACTAGAACTATCTTGGTATAGCCTAGTTGATCCAATTCTAGACATCGTAGTTTGGTGAATACCTACACAAAACTATCCTTGAGAATAGAACTCTTGTCAGTGACAAACTAGCCACTAGCTGTTCTTACTAAGTCGAATCGACTGGACTGTTCCCCTGCCAACAAGCGTGTGCAACAGTTGATGTAGTCAACAGGATGAAGTTTGGTGAATACTTGTCCGAGACACTCGAGGTAGGTCGCTGGGACGTCTCTGGTATGGACCAACTGGCCGACGAGTGAATGGTCATGGTCAATGAGGCTAGTAGCTCGCCTACCACTATGTCATGAGCTGAACCCATCGAGCGGAGGCCCCAACCACAGACAAGAGCTTGCAGGAAGTAGCTAGGCTTGGTACCATACAGGACAGTAACGTAGGCATAACGAGAGGGTGTTGGCGGGCTTAACAAACCTAGGGACATAGTAAGATGTTAAGAAGAGGACGATATTCCTGTATCATGATGACCTTCGAGGCCTTCTCCTCCCTCAATGGATAGTGAATGGCAGTCGATGTCAATAGATAAAGGCTTCCGACAGCATGGGCATATCCCGCTATAGCTGAGCACATCACTCTGAGGATGATGCTGCTGAGCATTAAGACCACGAATAACTCTATGGGTCATAAAGCTCCAGAGTGACTGAGAGGAAGAGACTCATCGAGAGGATCACCGTGTCACATTCAGAGTGAAATATGATACACCCACCATCGTCATTGCAGGTATCCCCTTTTGGTCACCGGATAATAGCCGTTTGAGAACCACACCACGTTGCTCCTGTGTGAGCTGTGATAGCTTCTCCATCACCTCATCCTCAGCTGAAAGCCTTGATTGCTTGATACCCATGCGGGATTACACTCAACCACTATGACTAAGAAACACCAATCCTGACTAGCTATGATAACCCTCGGACGTGCTGTTAGGCAGTCGTGAGGAACAACAACTATCACTAATCAATTGACGACAAAAACAAAGACAACGGATAGTATGGAAATGAGTTACTCAATGACAGGGCCTCAACTAGCGCCACTACGCCGCTACCGCCTGCCGCTACTCTGATGGGAGAGGCGATGTTGAGATGGTGGCGAGACATACTCCTCCTCCCTCGTAGTCCGCGGGAGACTATAAGGCTGCCGCGTTGGTAAACGACGACCTTGGAATCGGAAAACACTTGCCTTGTGGTAGAGTGTGCAGTGGTTCACCTTCTCATAGTCCTTAGATTGTACGACGTGTAGTGCTCTTGCTGTAGCAGCAAGAGCACTAGTCAGTCGGAGGGGACTGTTGAACAACAGAGGCGGCAAGGCTTGTGGTAGAGTGGACTCTTGTCCTACCTGATGACGAGGTGTGATAGCGAGTGTGACGGCCGTACCCCTCCCAGCGCGAAGATGGTAGCCACGACGCAACTCCTACCCTGCCACCACAGTGACTGTGGGGGACTACACGCAGACAGCCTCTTTGGCAGGCACCAGCAATGATAGGAGCAATACCAATAGTGTATTGCCTAGTGGTGATGTTGTGGATTATTGCGCCGCTGTCTACTGCTCTAGTAATGGGCTTGGGACTTAAAGATGCTGTTTGTACCACATCCACAGCCTAATGTGACTAGACTACCTAAATAATACACGTAAAGAGTAGTATTATACGTTCTTCCAGACACGAATGGCCAGAAGCCACTTAGCCGATACGAGGGGGAGGGGTGGCTTCAACAAGAGGCAGGGACGACCATCCACAAAAAGAGATCAATCATGATGACACCCCATGGGGGACACTACTGAGTGGTAATGACTTAATTCACTCTAACTGTGATACAACAAGCTACCATAGGAAACGATGGTCAGTGATTAAGCAAATGTGACAAGGAATGAATCAACAATGTTACAGGTATAACCATGATGCGGTGGTATATCAGCTGCTTGGGTTATCGTCAGCAAAGGGCTCGACAGACCCCTCCCGCTCCTGCAACTTAGGAGGCAAACGGTTAGATATAGGCTGGTCAATAGGTGCAGCGATGATGTCAAGAACAGACGGACAGACCCTCTTTAGTGCCGAGACAAGATCAACTAGATCCTGGGTGGCTGGTGGCACATTCTCTGTTGGTCCCCCGTTGTACGGGGAGCCCTCCCCATACTGCTGCTGCTGCTGCTGCTGGGCTATCAGCTTCTGGACTCGGAGATTCTCATCTCGATAACATCTATAAGGGAGAATGACGTAGTGGCCACATGTGGACGGGCATAACGACCTACCCCGCGAGAGCTTTGAGCTGATAGGAGGACTCGGCAATCAATCGTGATGCAGCCTCACGTTCAGCTATAAGATATTTGGCAAGATTCTCGTTGTCCCGCTTCAAGGCCTCCACCTCTTCCGTTAATGCATCCTTTGCTGTCTGTAGTCCCTCTATACGTTCGACTAGACTTGCTGTATCGGTATCCCGTAGCTCTGACAACTGTTCCGACATCCCAGCTAACACCTGCAGAAGTACCTCTAGTATGAAGGGAAACTGATGATGATGATACTGAGGAGGAGGTAGGACCTGGAGAGTGTCGCTAGCTTCCTGTTTCGATCTCGCCACCTCCCTCTGTTGGACCTCGAGCATGCTACGAAGCTTGGCGACATCGTCATCCCTTTGATGATGGCCAGGATCTCGAATATGGAGGGTCTGCTGAACCAAGCATCTCTGAGCATCCTGATGGGCTCTCCGTGCTATTTGTATGAAGAAGGAGGGATACCTGTTGGATGAACATAACCCCATTGCCATGAGAGGGTTTACTAAGGTCACCATGTTGGTCTCTTCGCTATAGAGTCATGGTGCACAGCAGGCCGAGGAGCGCTATCTAGTAGAATAGCTCCTGCTCGGTATGCTTGGATAACACCGATATCGGCTTCGATGATCGATGTAGCAAGATCATTATTGGCACAAGAGGGCTTTAGACAAGTGCCCAATAGTAGGGAAGCCAAGCCATTGATATCTACCTGAGTTAACGTTAATACTCTCCCAAAAGCTCCTGCCTTACTTTCCCTGGGCCTCGATATCTCATCAGGCTCTGGAGCAATCGGAGATAGACGGGTTCAGTGCTTATCGCATCATCAACGTCAGCATCCACGCGAAAAACCAATAAAGTCTGTAGTATCGCTATCACAGTAGTAGGTACAGTGGATGGATCCTTGGACCACAGTGCAGTAGTGTTGTTGTCGCTTGCATCGGAGTCGGACCCTTCGCCATCAGTATCATCGAAGGGCGCCTCCAACCTGTCAGCCAAGGATAGAAGTATCTTGTCGAGGAAGGTAAGCAGGGATTGGTATCCACCACTTGAACTTGGTATCACTGCCGACGAGGACTGAATATCACCATCATATGACGAGCACGACTCATGTATACCCTACCAGCATCTTCTGAGCTTCGACATTCTTACCCTTCACACAGTTCATGAGCAGTTGTAGTGAGAACCAAGCATTGACATGCATGGCAACTTGTGGTAGGGTGTCTTTCATGCCCTTGGTATCGGATCCTACTGCTATTCCCTGGAGGTGGGAGATCACCCAAGACCCAGGAGTGACCACTGTCGTCGACATGGCATCGTCAGGAGCTGGAGTCGACATACCAGCTACAGTGGCACTGAATGTAGCACAGAGGGAATTCTGTATCATAATGGAGACCAATTGACCAGGGAGGTCGGTTGCCTAAAGTAGCCCTATTTGGATCATGCTCCTCAGCACCTCTGCTTACCTTCTCTATGAAGCTTGATACTGAGGAGCGGAAGGAAATGGATGGAGGAGGGGACTGGACCATGAGGCTAGCTATCTTCCAAATACCCGGTGTAGCTGCTGCTGCTGATGCTGTTGAACCTGCCATACAAACGTCCTATAATACGGGCTACGAAGACTGACTAGTAAGCTTCTCCACTGTAGATTTCCCACAGGACTGGAGCAGGGTCAGAATGACGTGGAGTAGCTCGCGACGGCATTCATCCGATAGATGATAACTGGAGAGCAACAGCAGCATCACTCATGAGCTCACTGAGCCCTGACCTACTTGTCTATTTGATCGATGATTATCTCAATTATCCCCAAGTCTATACAATACACCTTCTCCTGATTTTGCGTCTTACTTCGGTTCGTTAGATGAGCAGATGGGCCCCAGTAGGTGTGTAGAATCTCCATGGAGAGCTTGAGGGTCGGCCATACCTACTCAGGGACCATGCTAGGTAAGCGGTTACTAGGACGAAGTACTGTCTTGAAGGTTGCAACATTTGTTATGCCCTTCAGCTCCTCGTCATTCTCCCTCCTCTCAGGGAACAAGTCTTGGTCAGGGGCCTCACTACCGCGACGCTGACGATGGTTCGGGTAGAGTGCATGCCTGATAAAGTTGTATGATAATCATCTATTAAAGAGTAGTGATGTTATGACCGGAAGACCTCTAGAGTCCATTGAGCACTCTCCCTTCCCCCTGTACGCCAGAAGCTTCGAGTCTTCTCATGCCTCAGTAGCTGTAGGTTCGTGTCTAGTGCTACCACTGGTACATCTCCCGCCGAGACCACAGGGTCTTCCAAGACTATGCCAAAGAGGGCCTCGATCACTCCTATAATACAGAGGTGACACTAGATAAGGTAACAGGCCTTTACCTTGGAAGGCTAACATAGGGAAGATCTGCATCTCCTCGGTAGCTGCAGAAGCGGTAGTTGCCCGCCGACTACCCTGATCCTTGGCCGCGGATACCATATTGTGGACAAGGGCCAGGCACTCGTTACGGACAAAGGCTGCTGGACACGTCTTGAGGAGATCGACCAGAGCCGCAACCACCTATCACCGCTAGCATAGTCCATGTGCTAGTGGTGGGCACGTACCTCGGGTGCCTCCAATACAGCCGATGCTATTATACGAGGGAATCTCTTGTGAAGACTCTGTATGAGGCGTAGCTCAGCATAGAGAAGATACCTTGTGTATGGATGTCCACAACAGCAGCAGTGGCAGCAGCAGTGGTGGTGGTATATACTACATATCAGCATCTTGTTTAGTGATGAGAGCCACAATCTCGGACCCTCCCTTGGACAGTTGAAGAATCTTCTCAGCACACTTGGTCTCCAGTCCATCAACCCTCCGCCGCCTCTTGCCGTCGTCGTCCTCACCATCATCATTCATAACCTTTACCGGTGCCTCAGCCACCAACAGGCCCAGGAAGGAGAGGCAGTCCTGACAAGAACATTGAGGATGACTAAAGTCCTCAGCTGCATACCTGTAATGCCTCCGAATCCTGAATGTCCTGTAGTCTTGGTACGATATTCTGCAACATGGAGCCCATCACGTCGGTATCGGTCAGGAGAGCCACAACTAGATCTGGCCCTCCCTTACGACAGGTATCGAATAATTGGGTAAAGACTTTGTAGCTCTGAAGCAGTAGGAAGAGGTAGCAGTGGTGACTGAGTGCGTGGTGGTCACCTCAGGACTATTGGTCCCAGTCCGATCTAATACATCTAGTGCGTCCCTCAGCGCCAACTGAGTGTCGATAACCGATACTCTCGCATCTACGGTACGGAGTAGAGCATCCATAAAACGATAGTGAATATCACAAAACTAGATGGTGACAGTAGAGCTTGGTCACACAAGCAACAAATAGGAGGTGATAGAGAAACGTCATCTGCCGTCTGGGAAGAGGGGCCTCGCACTAGCGGTAATCTTTCTATCAGTAAGCATCTTAACCCATCGTTCTGCTACAGACCTCTGTGGTGCTGTGGTAAGGGAGCTCTCGCCATATCGATGCGCCTAATACAGCAGGTGTGAGGAGAAGGAGTGGGTGTGTCGTCACCTTCAAGGCGGCCGAGAAGGCATCTTGTCGAGACACTTGACCCAACATGTCATGAACAATGTCAGCTACCTGAACAGGAGGATGAAGACACCTTCCACCGATCAGGGCCCGTCCTACCTGGTCGAAGGTATGGAATTGATCATTATGCAATAATACCTGCCAGCCACCAGTAGTAGATGCCAACTCCAGCTCTTGCTCCCGTCCACCAGGCCTGTTGGTCATAACCTACATAGGCCCTCGTTGCTCTATGGATAGGAAAGAACATACCTTCGTCGTGGTGAGGACCGAGAGCTCATCGAAAAGCCGCCTTCCTGATATGAAGGTTACTGCTAGGACAATGAGGATGAGCAAAGCACCAGACCTATTACGCCATCGCCGAGCACGCATGTGCAGGGATGTTCTGTTAGTCATAAGGGTAAGATAGAAACCTGCTTAGTGCAGTCCAGATGCATAGATATATCACACGACATGTATGAGTATATCGAAACATGCACTGCGTTCGATGCAATGATGATGATGATAGGATGTAATACTTCTCAAGCAACACTCATCTCATCGTCATCACCAGTCCCATCAGGCACTGGACTGGGAGTGCCGGAGCGGACGAACCCCTTCAGAAGAGCACTTGAAGAGGAGGAGGAGGATGACGATGACGAAGATCCTCCTCCACGGGATGGTTGTCCTGTTTTGGTAGCATTCTAAGCAAGAGGAAACCACCACTACAAGAGCCGAATCGAGCCTACCCTACCCTATCTGGGTCATTCTCCTTGTTGTCCTCTTGTTGTGCCGGAGCCTCTTCCACCTCTATGTTGAGAAGCTGGGCTAACGCCTTGTTGACAGGGGGCCCAAGGGCTACACGTCTGTGCGAAGGACTATGTCTGGACCTATGTCTCATCTCTGTGTTACTTGAATGCCTCCCACACCCTTTCATGGCAAGCCTCTTCCTCCGAATACTCTTCCTCATCATCTCCCTCACAAATGACCCTTTTGCGTAGGAAACTAGTGACATGAATTGACATTCTCCACACTCAAGAGCATGTAGTCTACTCTTTGAATTGCGTATCATAACCATATTTGGTAGCCGCCACCTTAGCCATCCTGTCGATGAAGGACTCCTCATCCTCTCGAGGGTGCAGAGTAGATACACTAACGAGGATGTCAACTGATGGTAGTTAGTGCAAGAGGATGATGCCTACTGGGATAGATTTAATTGAAGTGTGTTGATGACTAGAGATGTGGACACGACACCAGTAAAGCCTAGCTGATGGAGTAAGTCTGCCACGGTCTTCCAGACAGGCACCTACACATGAGGTACTAAGTAACTTCCACAGAGGTTCCTCCCCCCACCTTCGAGTTCCACCCACTGGCGATAACCCACTCCCACATAGTCTTCTGAATGTCGTACATTCTGGCCTCTGCAGTACCACTAGATAGGCCACCAAGGAAGACAGCTGTAGTGAGGTGACGTAGATATCTCTGATAGCATTGACCACATGTAATGGAACCATACTTGTCGTGTCCTACATGTCCCATCTCATGGACTAGGGGGGCGGCATCAGCCACGTCCTCAGCCTTGACTCCTCGCCGCATGGTGGGTTTCATATTGCGAAAGCAATCCCCCAGCTCAGTGAATACATCCAATAGGAATTTATCGGACTATATCGCGAAAGCATCAGACCTACTGCAATGAGCTCTATGGTGCTACCTCAGCAGGAGCAGCAGCAGCCGCACCACCACCACTACTGGATGGGCGGCCTTGGAGACGAACGCTAAGAAGAGTGTATATGGCGAGGGAGAAGGCTGAGCATATGTCGCCTTGGGCTTCAATAGGAAGACCAAAGGGTAGGCGGTCAACCTGTTACATAAGTCCAGCAGTGATCAGTATAACAGCAAACACCACCAAAGATTGTATGAGCTCTACAGCCGGGTCCTGTAGAGGTAGGAGATACTCAGATGGAAGCCTGAGATCCAGTATAGCTCTCAGAGGGCCATTGAGAGCCTTTAGGCTGTTATTGACAACCTCCACCTGACGCCTCACGTCAGCTTCTGAGAATAGCCAAGAGATAACTGTGTCTGCTACGACAAGCAGCCATGCCTACTGCTGTTAATGATGGTAGAGCACGCTGAGATACGCTTAGCTAGGTTGGTTATGGCATCCTTCGACACATCCCATGCAGAGGCCAACCTTAGCATACCATACTGAGGGAAGGGCAATAGAGGCAACCTCCACATGCTATCCACCACACTCACATAGTAATTCTGATCCTCTCCATCATCAACCTCAACCTTCTCCGTAGATTTAGATGATGTGGACTTCACGAACCGTACCACTTTATCCTTAACATGCCTGTATGCCCCTGGACTCAGCAACCGAAGTATCTGCAGAGATCTTGTAAGCGTTGAAGGTCATGAGTCCAACGGTGATATGGTCACTAGAGAGGCCTTGCCTGCCTGCATCCACTACCTCGACAGCTTCAATGAAGCATCCTCGGGATGGTTCCAATAGTTTCGTCATGTTATAGTCTGTAAGGAAGTTCTGATAGAAGTCATCTCGTTGCCGTATAATCCCCTCCGCTGCTCCCTCTCCCTCATCCTCCTCCTCAGCACTCCTGAATGTACATATTCCGTCAGCCTGCTAAACCATCCTACTGCGTTCTAGAACGCTTCTTAGGCTTAGCCCTCTTGGCAGGTCGGCTTCCTGTCTTGGCCGTCACCTCGAAATGTAGTATCTTATGAACATCTTCAGCGTTGAGAAGTTCCACAACTCCTCTGAAAAGTATCTGCCAATTTTTATCCACCCCTCGAGCGTGTTGATGTTGTCGCTACCCTAGCATGATTTAATTTGGCCCTGACCGCATTGTCCCTAGCAGCTGCCTCCACAAGGGACTCATGACGCTCACCCTCCTTCGTTACGATATCCATACCATCTACATTGATATTAATTGTAGCATGTGATTGATACCACAAGAGGAGGAGAAGCAAGCTCACATTTGAAGAGGGCCGCCGCAAACCTTATCCTAGCAGTAGGTGTAGCGCCTTCAGCCTCACGACAGTTGGCCATCAACGCTATGAATATATTGACGTTAGCTTTGGCTACTTGCTTGAGAGCCTAAGCAACAATAACAGCAACATGAAGTATGATGCGGCGGAGGAGTGGTATTAATAGTAAGATATCACCTTAACATCCATGCCTCTGAATATATTCTGGCCTAGTATTGCCCCTAGACTACAAGCTATCTGTGTGTGTACATCCCTCTCCTGCTCAGCCTGCTTTACATTCCTGAGCGTACCAATACTCACAGTAGGTTGCCCCCTGCATGATGGCTACTGTTGAGTAAACTTCTCCTTCTTCCTCATTGCATAAGCGTGCTCTATCACAAGACGGTTTGCTAGTGTTTGATTACCCTCTACCACTTCTGAGATGTTGATACCGTCGACGTTCTGAACATCACCCAGCAGCTTGCAATACCTATCCATATGCAGTAGCAACAGAAACAGGAGCAAGATGGTTACTACTCTAATCTAACCTGAGGCGAGGGATCGTATATCATCTCACCGATCTTGGGTAACACTGGACCCATTATCTACCGCTAACTGTGAGCACTACTATGAAATGCTACCGCACATTACTTGATGAGATATGGCGCAGGTTCTTATTATCCTCCTCATCCCTTGTACTACTGCCATTCTCACTGCTGCACTCCTCTTATCCTTAGCACATTTATTAATAACGTTATAAAGTAACACAGAGCGGTAATCTGTCGATATGACGCTCCACTGTATGGCCAGAGATTCACAGACCTTGGTAACTGCTATACGGCGTACCTGCATCCAGCCACTCCAAAAGAACCCGTACACAAGCCCAGGTACTTGGTCGTGCTTGTCCGTCATACCGCTTACTAAAGCTCGAATTTGCATGTCCATTGTCCGCTCCATATCGGCATGAGAGGTTGAGTTGCATATGGGGAATGCATCCCCAAGAGTAGCTATAGCATTAAGGCGGATCTACATAGATGACAAACTAGACTATGATAAGAGGGGAAGGCCTACCTTCCAGTTGGTGACTGTAAGCTGCTTCCATAGTATAGGCTGGTAAAGCTCCACAAGTAGATTCTCGAGTTCGGTTGGCCGTCTGTCCTTACGATGAAATTCACTCAGTAAGATGCGTATCTTGTTATTCATATAATCACGATGATGAAGGAGGAGGTCTCCTATCACCTTCTTCGCTAAAACAGGATCAACCTTAAGTGAATAATCCATCCATGCCTGTATAGCCTGCTCTATATGCCTCTTCATAGCTCCTGAGGATTCCTTCCAACCTCTATACAGGGCCTGTAGACCATCCAAAGCTTCTCAATAGTGTCGACTATCATCACGTTACCTTTGACAGACCCAGGAGAACAGAGCTAGGTAGTTGTGGGATGAACAATTTGATAGCAGCAAAAGCATCAACGATAAAGGCTGGGTGCATAGTCAATACACTAGCTACAAATGCTATACCTAAGGCCAACCCAATACTGACAGTACCATCAACAGCGATCGATACTCACCGTGATCATTCCTGTGGAAAATCCTCCCACAGATGCACTTCTCTAGTTTCTTATACAGTTGCCTCACTACCATTATCTCCTCCTGATTCGCAGGCTCCTGAGCAGGTGGGTCCTTGCCCTACTCCCATAGAGTGGGCATATACTACAGCATCATACGCAACGTCAGTAGTCTCTGCTAGTTCCCATTGAATATTCTTAAGATGATGCCGTAGCTTATACCTAGGTAGGGATACACTAAGCACGCTAGTGTACCGGCTAACGGGATACATACAGCCGTTTGACGTTGGCCAGTGTAGCAGACTCATGCAGACACTTATCGAGCTCTAACAGGATGTCCTTAGCGACTTGGAGAGGAGTTAGATCCTCATCCTGACAGCAAGGCTACAACAACCTCGATGAGCAGAGAATAGTACTGCCTACTTCATCTTCAGTATTGACATGAGGTTGGATAGCCTCATCATGAGTATGATCAGTATCCTGTACCTTCGCACTAGGTGCCCTTTGGGGCCCCGAGGAGGACGTTGAAGAATGAGCTTCCCCTGTTGATGAGGCGGGCTCCTCTACTCGTGTAGGAGGTACTTCCTCCATCTCCCTCTGGAGGGTTGCTAGCAGCTCTCTTTGCTGCCCTCCTGGGGGGTTGCCGACGACGAGGTGGCATACACAATACCTACTCATCACATCCTCAAGGGTTCCATCCCCGTCGCGAAGCCAACATGTAGGCTGCTATAGAAACTAGGACTTGCGTGCCCACATGACGACAAGAGGCTCATCACTTTCCAAGTAAGATCCACCAGCGCCGATCTCACTCCAACGCCCTGCAGCAGCATAATGAAGATATGCACGACACAGGAAGGATCTCTGTAGCATCGTTGACCTATACCAAAGGTCTGTAACCTAATAACAATGATAATGCCGCACTAGCATCGTTGGGCTACGACTTGGACACACCTTAGTCTCAAAGCAACGGTCAGTGTAACTGATGATGAGTATACCTCCAGGACGCAGTAGCCGATGCGCCTCGGAGAGGACGAGGTGTGGAAGGGTAAGGTACTGGATGCTGAATGCTATGGTAACACAGTCAAACACAGCAGGACCATACGGCAACCGGGTATCGATATTCAAGTCCTGGATGTGGCGTTCGTTGAGAACCTAAGACACGATCGACCTGATGACAGAGGAGGAGCATGAGCAATGACCTTATTCCTCTCCATCTCATCTCTATTCATACCATACCCTACCACAGTGGATGGACTATAATCATCAGGGAAATAGCTATAGACTCCTGCTCCTAACTCCAGGTGGGCATTGCCGTCCTTGGGCAACAGCTTAGCGTACCTCCATATATCACTGGTCCGGAGTCTACTGCTACAACTACTACCATTCCATCTTCAACTTATTAGCTACCCCCTCGCTGACGTGCATGCCCAACTTGGGCACCTTATAAAACTCGGAGTCTGGGGTAAGGTCTAGTTTCTCAAAACACTCCGTTGGGAAAGGGAAATCTTCTGGCCAAACATTGAACAACACTACCTAGTAGACATGGTATAAGGTAGCGACACTTAGAGAGAAGCTAACCTCATTAAGATTCTCTTGACTGAGCTTCCTACTCTTCCAGGGCCGAAGCATTGACTTATAATGGTGCTTAGCAATACCCGTGGTAAAACGGGATACCCTCTGCCCGATGAAAGACCGTGCCCCTTGGGACCATACAATGCTGCTAGCCATGACACGGAGATGTACACCCTCCTTCTTTATACAGATGACAACTACAACTCAACAATGCAATAGGAGGGATATGTACGAGCTAGTATTAATAGTTACAAGCCTTTATCTATGACAAGCTCGTTGAACTCGACCACCAGGATAGAGTATTGGTATCATCGAATGGTACTGGTATAAGAATAATAATAATCATCATGCAGCAGCTGTAGCCATAGCGCAGGCCATACCCTGCTCACAATGGTCATATTCACTAACACTAGCCACAAGAGCTGTACAGCCATACACCTTCTGTGGTATATACTCTGTCTCGACCATCAATGTAAGCAGCTCTAGTCCCCATTGTGGTAGGATATTGAACAGGATACGAGCAGCACTACCCTCCAAGGCCGGACCATTTATAGTCCCTAATTGAGCATACAGAGTATCCGTTCGTACAGATTCCAACGCTGCTACTGTGTTACGGGCATCCGACGACATCAGACCTCGTACAGCATGACCAAACTTCCGTGCTACACCTGTATGCTCCTTATGAGGGATAAAGAATTGTGCCAAGTCCAGAGGTATTGGTCTTGAAGTATATGTACAGCTCTCAGCAGTAGTGTCTGGGTCTGTATGATCATGCTTAGCACCATCACCCTTAGCAACCACTATGAAACCACGTGACATGCCAGTAGTGGAATCAATGGTAGTCGTTGCCTTATGTAATAAGGGTAATGGTACCCAATGAGGAGGATACTTGAATCGTGCTACATCCATTACTAAGCATAGATCACTCTCTTCATCATAAGCAGCCACTGGGGAATAGTGTCCACATCCAGTCTGATGCATTACCTGACACATCACAACACTATCATCACTATTCCTCTATTACTAGCATTACCTGTCTATCATAACTAACTACCAGCCGTCGATCAGCAGAGCCCTTCTCTAGAGTATTCTTAACAACTTCACGGAACTGCTCAGTAGTCGCTATACTACCATAATAGGTACTAGCTTTTGCACCATTGCATTCAGCTAGCATAGCAAACTGTTGGAAGTTGACCCCAGTATTACCACTAGCATAAGTATGCTTCTGACAACTGACTAACATATCCTCTGACCACCATCTCCATGGTCCTGCCCACCGCCGTCCTGGATCTATCTCCAAGCTGTTAAGTACCATAGCCAGTGTGGCTGGACCACAATTAGGTGGAGCTTGTTGACCCACAAAATGCTGTGATAAACTGAGGTAACTCTCAGCACAAGGACCCTGTAAGCATTTTGCCAAGAGTTCTCGTCCCTTGGGAGATCTAAATGGTATTAAGTCTGATGGCATCTGCCTCATATACCATGATGGCCTATCATCACCAAAGGGTTTAGGCTTTGCTACTTCCACTACACCAACAGTACTCATGTACTGCCTCCTATCATATGCAGGTGTAGTGGTAGAGATAGAGCGCCGCTGGTGCCCGAGACCACCAATATTAACATAATTCGACAACCTACTAGCCAACGAGGAGCGGCACGGGCCCATGGTCCCTGTTCTCTTGATGCGGACTGCACCATGACTATCTGTCAGGGTCTGAGGCTTCGACGTGGTTGCCGTTGGCTCCTTGAAAACTTCTGGGTCCATAGTTGCATACTTCGTGGAGGATGATGGTGCTGGAGGGGCTACGCCACTAGCGAAAAAACGTGGCTTGTGGCCGTGGGTTGCCGCAGCTCGACAACAGCAGCCTCTACTTCCACAGTTCCTTCCCACTACCACCCGGCCCGCTAGAGTAGTAGTCGCAGCTTTCATACAGCATAGTGGTAATTCCTCTATTGCTGGTGTTGATAATGCCATCTTACATACCCCACGGTATGCACAGGAACCACATGATGAGGCACAGGACATACAAAAGGGGAACTAACTATGGGTGACATGTGATGATGACAATAGTAACTCAAGAGGCTATTATAGTGATGCAGAAAGGACTAATTGAGTAATCGTACAATGGTAATACTAATGGTATCATACAAAGAAGTCATCCATATCAAAAAGCTTATCGACTTCATCGGCTAGTGGGAGGTCAGCAAGAGTAGGCTTGGGTATACTACTACTGCTGGGTGTAACATATACCGTATCCAGATCAATAGTAAGATCACTGATGCCTGCATCCTTATAGGGATCACTGACCAGTCCCGCCTCAGTGTTTAGAGCTTTACGACGTTTCTCGATGGACTTATGGCTAAAACCCCTCGCACTGAACTTCCGCTTCTTATCCTCCTCTGCCGCTGAGGGTGATGAAGATGATGGCGATACACCAGAATCCCCATTGGTCAGTGCCTCCCTTTTCGATGGCAATAACTTGCGATACCTGAGTTGGGATCTCTGATGCGAAGACTGACGACAATATACTACTTATAGAGCATGCACCGGTTCGCTCCTATCTCCTTCATAATATTCTCATTATTCTTATACTTCCAATGGCACTCCTCACAAGCATCAACAACACTCGCCGCTATTACACCACAACGCTTGCTCTCGGGCAGCTCATCCACTTTGTGTCCCTTTGACAAAACTATCCTCTTGGCCGCATCGAAAAGCTCCGAACCACAACAGCTACGCGTCCAACAGCAACACCGTACTAGTATCCGTTCAATGAGAGCATCCAAGTTGGCATGAGGTATATCCTTGCTCCCATATAGTTTTTCAGCTGAAGTAAACGAAGTCTCAGTGATAACTGCTGCTGCGATTAGTTAGCTGATACCAAGCTTTGTTAAGACAGCAGGTTTCCTATAGGAATCCATAGTCTTATATCCTTCCACAGTCCCCAGGTACTGTACTATGTCGGTGAAGAGTATAACAGGGACCGAATGCTGCAGATCCGAGCGTCTAGTGGTAAGCAAAACCTGAGGGGGTAGCGTCCATGGTAGTAACAAGAGCAATTACTGTAATACTACAGCTATAGAGGTAAGGACTGGTCGTGGTCTATGGCGGGCACCACAGCTCAATACAAAGGTTGAGTACCTGACGGCAGCATACCCTTCAGCATTCCAGTAGTAGCACTAGTTCGTACATATTCCTAACCTCTTCCCGTAATGATGGGTATGCATTGCAATCGGCCTTAGTCAACGCGTTACACGCTTGGTCCAAGTCCATCACGGCCTCGCTAGTAAGGGTCACCGATGATGATGTCGCTTGGGGTATGATTTGAGATTGGTTACTAACATGAAGATGGTTACCTTGGGTTAGGGTATCCAGGTACTACTAAAACAATCTTCCAACTTCAAAGGTTTGTCCATAGTACTCATCGTCAGCTCTACGAGGGTCTTCGTCATCATAAAGGATATCATCAGGATAGCCGCAGCCGTTGCTACCAAGCATAAACTAGCTGAATAGAGAGAAGACAGGATTATGTCGGAGATCGAGCTCCTCAACTTTACCGAAAAATGGTGATTAGTCTATGTGCTGCGGAGACGTGCGATCATATCTTGAGGAATTAGAAGATAGCAAGAAAACGCAAGATACGCCGGCGTGCGTTGCCATGGGAACACACTTGGTACTACTCGATTCATTACTACTCGCAGCTACTTTTTAACGTCATGTTGGGTCGTAGGCTGCTGCTGCAACAACCAGTGTGTAATGGTGTAGGTGGTCCTATCATGAGGGCTGGTGGTAGCCTTATCACTCTACAGCAAAGGAATCGTATTGGAGGCAAGACTAAATCCATGTAGGCTCTATTGTTGTATCCTATGCCCCTATCTTAGGTCCTCCTGTATTCATGCAGTTCCCTCCTCCCCCTCCTAAGGAGTACCTAGCTGATGGTAGGGTAGCTCGAGCTTCTAGTGAGTGTGGCTATAATAGTACTAATAGGTACCCCCAAGACTTATCCACTACATCAACCAGTATTCGATCATGGTTATACTTGGGAGCATTGGTACATGACCAATGCAGGAGTATTCCATACAGTGTAAGTTGTGGCCTTCTCTCTATACCATATGCTAATGTAGGTACTATGGTGAGTTCGCCAAGGACTTCCCGTGGCGATGGGGATTCGTTGCCGAGAAGCCTTTCTGGGTTGGTGCTCCTATCCTAGTTCTTGGTGTACTATGCTTGGGTCATATCATACAGACTATGGGACAGATAGGAGTGAGACCTAAGAGATATACTCCTGAATGGGTAGAGGCTACCAAGGAGAGGGAGAGAGCTGAGAATACTAATCCCATTACCAGGTAATGCGTGTCATACCCATACCATGCTGCTGCTCGATTGTTGGTTGTAGGTATCTGGATCGTCGCCGTGCTGAGCGTGGTCCCTATTATCTCATGTCTAATGTACTTCCTTACCATCCTCATTTCTTATGGATGCGTAACTCACATGATTACGAGGCTGCTGAGGCACTAGCTGCTAGACGGGAGAAGGATAGGGAACTCGTAAGCTGTGGCACATTATCCTGCGTTGATCCTTTGTGATGCATTCAGGCTGCAAAGCTCGAGGCGGAGGGTAAGTATTAGGGCGAGTGCCTAGAGAGGAATCACTTATTGTAAACAGCTAGGCTATGGCCTTGCTCCAGTGGACTCTATCTCTCATTGGGATATTTAATCTATATGACATTGTTGAGTTATCTGGGATAGTGGATTCATTGAGTGCTGTTAGTATAAACAAGTGGCGAAGTCGATGCATTCCACAGGGAGTTAATGCTATTCAACCACATACATACCAGTACATGCTTTTACCATCACTTCATACCTGATCCTAATGCACACACTGCCATCCCTGTTAACCCTATCCTAGATAGTAAACCATCAGGTAAAGGTATATCATAGGGTATAGCAATAGAGGAGCCTGCAGTGCAGATATCGGTAAAGCGGCTACTCTGCACAGTCATACAGCAACCCATAAGATAGAAGCTAATGAGCATGCAGCCTTGATGCACCAACGGGTCCTCAAGGCTTTACATGGTATACATCATCATTGACTCCCTTAGTGCTTAGTCACTGGATCAGGTACAGCTGATTGGGATCTATCGAGGCTTATCAAGCACACTACCTTCCTACATGCATTGACTCGTCATCTAGTCCTCCAGACTGGTACTACTCATATGCATACCACACTCGCGCCTACTCCTACCACACCTCAGCCCATAATCCGGATATCAGCCCATCAGCTGTATCAGTAGACAACTTGGCCGCTCGAGCCGAGGCATCGGCCAGAGCCGCAGCTTACAGGTTCTACTTGGACTCATCCAAACTCAGCAATGATCCCGTCAGGTGGCACATGCCCTTCAGTGACACCCCTCCTTACCTTCCGATACTCGAGGCATAGTCTGCTGTTTATAGTAGTATTATGGATCTGTGCTCGACAGCGATGGCCTATGCGTTCGTTTGGTTATCAACAGCGAGACTCTCATCATAGCCATTATATGGAATTAAGCGTATTCGAGTGACCTCTAGATCCATGGGCAGCTGATCGTCGTATTGCAGCACTCATGGTTGAAGCTGCTTCCCATTGCATATCTATGTAAGATGACAGTATCGTTGTGGAAGTTATGGTACCGAGTTCGTACTGTCACTCTATGTATCTAGTATTCATTCACACTTCTTAATGGTTATATGTACCGATCATATGATATAAGGCTGAATAGGGATCCCAACGATGACGATGATCTTCCAAGTAGTATACGTTGTACCACTCTACCTTACCACAACTTGCTCTACAGTTACCCTTGAGGACCATGCTGACGATGGTGGCATTGGAGGGAATCAAGACCAAGCTGTTGAATCTGAATATGTCCGTTATCACTCATAACCACCATCTGAATATCTCCAGCATTCTATCAGGAATCAGGACGGACCTCTGATGAAGAGGACGAAGAGGACATTACCTGGATAGAATGGTTCTGCAATACTCAAGGCAACGAGTGAGTACATACACAACACAATGGTATAGAGCCTTTGCTATTGTTAGATACTTCATTGAAGTCGATGAAGACTATATAAGGGATTCTTTTAACCTCACCGGACTACGCGATATTGTGCCTTACTATGATATAGCACTCAATACGATACTAGATCTAGGTTGGCAGTCTACACCAATAGCTGCTTGTAGTAGTGGCCCTGTCCTATTCACAGACGAGAGGAGCTACGTTGGTCGAGCGAATGATACCAGGTCTTCAACAATTGAGAATTCGGCAAAACTTCTCTATGGTTTGATACAGGCTAGGTAAGGTCCTATATCCACCTATACTCGATGTAACTATCAGGTTCCTGATTACCAATAGAGGTCTTGAAGCTCTACATGATAAGTACACAGCATCAACTTACGGCATATGCCCTAATGCAGACTGCGAGGCTGCTAGACAGGCGGTAGGTAACAGGATAAGAGCCTTACTCTCATGTATGCCTCTCAGGTATTGCCTATAGGACGTGATCAGCCCTACGTCTCTACAGTGAAGGTATATTGCCCACGATGCAATGAGATATACCATCCTCCATCTCAGCAGGCTAAGTAGTAGCAATCGATCACTTCTTCTACGCCTCATGTCCCTCTACAGATTGGCCTCTTTTGACGGCGCCTTCTTCGGTAGTTCGGCCGCGCATATGTTCATTATGATGTATCCCCACTTCCAGCCTTCGACCGCTGCTCGACCATATGAACCAACGTAATAACCAACATCAACATCACCGACATCACGGACTTGCCCTTGATTCTCCCAGGGTCTATGGTTTCAAAGTACATTACTCTGTGCGGGATATGATCAGACAGTTGTATGCAGAAAGGCAGCAACGACTCCGTGAAGGGCATGCAGGATTGTCCTTGTCGACAGCGGCGGCGGCGGCAGGCGCACATCAGTGATGATCATTATGAGATGTCCAAGTCTTCAAGACTCATCTCTCCCACGTTCATTACTCATTAGCCTCCTATATTGGGTTCGTCAAGCTGGTCGGAGCTTGTGAGCTATGAAGTTATCCTTACCATCGACATGAGCAGCAACCTCTTCCTATCATTAAACACACGGCTGCAGGAGAAGGCCAAGCAACTCCGTGAATCCTACATCGCAGAGGATCTACACCAGTTCGTATCTCAACTCACTACTGATACCAAGGATTACAGGAAACAGGTTAGACGATGATGCTGATGATAGAGTGCCTTATTGTTATCCGCACTCACCTCAGTTGACGAGGAAGCTTGAAGAGATCGGTGGGGCTAACCATTCTACCTCCTCCGTCGATGGCACCTCAAACGAGACCGTCGACGTTCTCAGTACCAATGAGAGATTTGAATGGTGAGCCACGTCGTTACTGCTCGTAATGCTATTAATGAGTCTCTGTATCCCAACAGCCTCCCCGATGATACTAAGGAGCGCATCAGGATGCTCGTACGGAGTGAAGTAACGTATACGGAGGATGTAGAAGGATGCAAAGTTGCTGATGAAGAAGAGTGCAATCGGGTGGCATCCGAGTGGAAGAATGATGAGGCAGTATCGAAGATGCATCAAAAGCTAGGTATACTATGTGGTTATGGGAGTAGGCCATCAGTGACCCTCTTCGCAGTCGACCAAGGCGATATTGCCAACGATAAGTTCTGGAAAAGGTTTGCGGCCAACCTACATCGTGAACTCAATACGATTGGTCACACCTCGGATCAGAGGGCAGAAGACAGTGATGTTGGGGGGCATACTACACCAACACCTCAAAGTGAGAGACAAAGCACGAGCTCTCCTGAAGGACGATTAGCTGGGAATGCTTATGATGAGGATAGTGACAATGATGATGATGACATCATTACTTGGGATTAGTTTTTATCAACTGCGTATCATTCACTGCATCATTATTATTTCATGTTTACATCTGGCTGATGGAGTGTCGAGTTGGTACCCCATAACGATGCTACTGAAGAGGTATCGCATGTCATTCCGTCGGTCGCCCCAGTCCTGTACATCACTAGCCAGGCATGCAGGAGAGCTGCATCTCTATGGCATTAATGCCAACATTTATCATCAACGGCTTTACAATCAAGAGCATCCAGGTATGGTCAATAGTACTAGTAGTAGACCACGATAAGCGTCATCGATCAGGTCGCTGTCGTGGTGGAGTTTGCTGTTGGGAGCGGCGTGGTAGAAACCCCAAATCCTCCTTTGACAATGACGGTCATGACACTGGGCATCTTCTGGAGTACAGCCCTTGTAGGAACAGCCTCCCTAACATCACAACGAGTTCGCGGTAATTCGGTGAAGTCTTCCCATCCATACTGCCGTCATTTGTCAGCGACTTCAAATCACTTCATCATCTATTGTTTCAACGTGATAAAATGAGAGTATCACACCGATCAGGGAGGGTCCCTCGATCAAACTCTGTTACAGAGATCCCACAACGGGTGAACCACTATTAGTAGGGTTTACATGCCTTCCTAATCACAGTAGACCTCTACTGTATCTCAGCTCCCTTTCCAACACCCCACTCCGCGAACGTCTGGTAGAAGATCCCCACGCTAGAGGGGACGTTGCAGGGTGCCGGACAAAGCTTTGGTGCACCGTGAAGGTGCCTAACCTCACCAGCGTTCAGTATGACATTATAACTAATGGGAAAGTATCGCCCTATAGGAAGTGGAGACATGATCTGAACATCGTAACCTCACACACTTGATGTGAACATGCTGTCAGTAACCAGTGCTGTTGGGTTGTTGAAGTGAGTTGAATAACAATCACCATGGGATGGAAGTTAACACCTCCACGATATTGATGAATATTACACTACTTCACTAGGCAAGGATATGGTTCACAATCCTGGCCGCTGTCCCCGTGTCTATTATTATGATACAATCATAATAACCAGTCGTTAAACACCCATGCACCACTCCATCGATCCAAGAGTTAGTGGAAGCGGCCGAAGTATCCTCGTGATTGTCTCTAGAAAGTGGTGATTTACGCAATGATGGCTTGGTGCACATGTCTACAGTGTTTCGTCCAAACTTTAGACTTCAAAGTGTCGAAGTCGGGCGCGTCTTGTCACTCTTGGATGAGATAGTGTCAATCTTAGACACAATGAAGCAAGGGTGTGTCGAAGTTGGATGTGTCAAACTTACACGCGATATTTCTCGTGTGTCAAACATGAATACGTATTGTCATTCTTGTATGTGACAATGACATAGTTGCATGCGCATTTGTCAAACTTGCACGGGAAAAGGTGTAGTAACTAACACAACCTTGCCGGAATCAGGATAACTGCTGCTGCAACGGAAACGGTTGATAGCAATGTCATTGAGGTTGATGGCTTCATCGATGCTGTTGCAGCTCGAGAGAGTCACCACTCTCAACGCGAACTTCACAACGCTGGTCAAACGAAAGGAACAACTATAATGGTGCAGCAACGAGACTAGACTTGTTCGATAAGTTTACACTATTGGTACATAATGATAAGAGGTGAATGACATTAAAGTGTATAAGACATCGTGTGGTAGAAGGGAAGCGATGGATGCAGTCTTGCAGCCTACGTCGCATTTCTATCTTGTGGACATCGGCCTCGGTGATACGTAATTTGACAGGCTATACCCGCTGTGAGGTACTGAGGAAGGGACCGAAAGCTATTGAAGCTCGTTTGATTGAGCAGCATCAGCAGGAGCATTACCTGGTAGGTTCGAGGGTCCACTGCATTTCTGGAAGAAAAGGCAATACACCTGTGACTGCTTGGCCAGAACCTGATGCAACATGAATAAATAGGATAAGAAGAAGTGCATGTACTTTGTCTGGATCGATGAGTGAGATCTTCTCATCATCACATCTCCACCATCTAGCTCCCCCTCCGGACGCCTGATACCCAATAGCGTTATACATCTTCTCATCTAAATACCTACCTTCCGTCTCACGTATGATATATAGTGTCCCGTGCCCAGATGTGTCCCTACATGTACACATAGGCCGAGGAGCCTGTATGAACCGTCTAAGTAGGGCTGGAAGCTACAAGAACCCTCTAAACAAGGGTGTGCTGCTGCCGATGTTGACGAAGTTGTAGCTCGATCGACCAGTTTTGCACATTCCATTGGGAAGGAAACTGATGATTGGGAAGGACTATTAGTGTGAGGGATTTCCCCTCCTACAACTAGACTCACCTGCTGTATTTATCTTACGTCCCTGAGCAGTAAAGCGCCTGAGGTGGATGACCAGTATGTCAGGACTAGCCGTAACCTGAAGTGTGATGATAGAGGTGACTATGGCTCTGTTGTCCTGTTCCCGAATGATATTATGAATCACCTTAGTGGACTTGGTGGCCTTAGTCGATTTACAGTGGCATTTATCGCAAGAGAAGTCAGTGAGCTCCTCATCAACGAAGTAATTAGCTATAAGGCTTTTCAGACTGACCGTTCCATTATTCGAAGTACTCCCTTTCCCTTGTAAGGATAGCTGATGGTAGACAGAATAGATTAATATTATGCAAGGACGGTTGACTCGTCCTGCTATTACCGAATCCGGTGCACTAGCAGACGGCCTGAAGGCGGCAGAGCATCCAGCACTTGTTCGCATCTCCGGTCCAACCTCAACGGGTACCTGATGACGAATAGGAGCAACGTAGTAGTGATGATGGTATTCATACAGGTAATGATAGGTCCATAATGGGCTCATACACTCTAGTAACATGTCCACAAGAATGGCACATGAATCTAGATCGGAACATACCACTGAACATATCAGTGATGAGGGATGGGTTCCGAGATCGATACTCTCGCCATCGGACCTGACACGACCATCACTATCATCATCACAATTGATATTACAACAGATTCGTCCGATGGATGTTGAGGAGGAGCTCTCATCGGTGGTAAGGACCTCTTTCGCAGGTTGGACCTGCTACCTGCACCGTATCTACCAGTGCCACTAGTGACCCATCTACAGACTACTGTACTCCCTCACCTAGGGACTAGTGTGGAAGAGGTAGCATTTGCTGATTGGGCAGTCCGATTACGAGGCCCCATTCGAGAGGCCGGGGAGGATGCCACAGAGCCCCTCGATACTGATGACGCTGATGATGATGTTACCGATGACGGTGGAGGGCACTGATTATGATCATCCAAACGACCACGATCCTTGCCAGTGTTAGTGCCGCCCGCCCGGGGATCCGGTGTTGTTACACTATCATGGGTACCTGTAGGAGGAGTATAGAACGTTACTAATTGACATCGAGCTGTACATCCATGTAGAGCATCCAACAGTAATGAGAGGAACTCATGACAGTCCTGTTCTTCTGCAAGGTCCATGAAGAGGGGGTTCTTGGGGTATCTGGGATGATGAATCGTTAGTTACCATGTAAAGCAATGAAGTATTACTTCCTCTTCAATGCAGACAAGAGCCTTACTGGATTAACCGCTGGCTTGCTATCAGTGGACAAGTCCTCAACATTGACTTGACACTTACTAAAGAGGTCCACCATAGCTGCGGCAACCTCGTAGTATCCATGCTGAGGTTCATACAGAGCCGCAGTAGTGGACTCAGAGGAAGAATCCCCGACAGACGACGACGATGACGACGATGGTGATGAAGTAGGAACAGCAACCTTCTACATACACTACAGTCGGTAACTTTAATAATACATCCCTGTACTACATTGGACGGAGCGTTTTCCTTCTTTTCCTTCACAGTATTATGCGCCGTATTCTGCTGCTGCTGCTGCTTATCCACATCATCATCATGATGATGGTGGTGGTGGTTACGATGATGCTTCTGTTGATAATGCTTCACACCTCTCTTCATCTGGGATGCTAGACAGGTGAACTCAGCAATAGACAGCATACATTGCAGAACACAGGTCACAAAACAAGTACCTATCACCCACAGAGCTCTAAGGGATTATCAAGTAAGATATCATTACTCCCAAGGTTCTTGATACCGACCGGCTTCGTCGTGATATCTATTGCTGCTGGACCTGAGTATACAGGGTGTAAACCTTGTGTAATAGTAGGCCATAGGAGCACTACTAGTAGAGGCCACTGAAGTGGGTACTATAGTTCCAGGGTCCAAAACACGATTAAGGTCCCTGCATGGTGATTCACCAGTATGATCATAGATGTCTAGAGTGAATCTAGTGATGAGGGG